TCTCCTACAGAGGGAGGGGAAGGCACTTTGGCAGTGTGACGTCAGAAAATGACGTGATCTGCAAACTCAATTAGTTGCAACGCATTTCCGCTTGCTGCAATGCCTGGTTGTTTACTGTTTACCTGGTGCCGGTGCTTCTCTGCAGCTTGGTCGCTTGATTTGCAGCAGACAACGATTTGCAGCAAAACTGCGGTACAAAACACTGCGGATATAAAACTGCGGACATGAAGTAGGCCGAATTTTTAAACAGTTAGATTTTTTTGGAGCAGACTGTTGCGCCATCAACACAAAACACAAATTATGCGTTTAATAGTGGGTGTACTGATCAACAGATGGTACGACAATCTGCCCACTCCCAAAAACTGGGCCAGTGATATGCTCGAATTTCCATACATAGTGCCGCCCGTTTTATGGCCTATCCTTCGTCGTTGGTTACGCCAAGACTCTGAGGAACAACCAACCAACCAACCATCATGGAGCCTATGGGGAGTTTTGCAACTCGCATGATTGAATAGCTCTGTCATAGCTTTAGGTGGGGACAAGAACAGTCGTTGACTTCACTACTGTTTGTTGAGACCTGGTTTAGAACAATCGATCGTTGAGTTGACGACGTCACTGCATGTGGAAGGAGCGTTGCTCAGATGTAGGAAAGGAGCGCAAGAATCGTTTTTCGAAATGGAGGGCTGTACAGAGCTGCACAGTGCGCACCTCTGTAATATTCCGAAAACGCGATCGCTGCGATCTATTCTACGAATTCCCGAGCTTGTTTGGGGTGTGTGAAAAAAAATCAGAACCTGTTGACTGGCCCTCTAAGCGCCATACAGGTCGTGCTGTAAACGGCGTACTATATCTGCATCTCACATTAGTTTTTAATACACTAAAGCCATCAGATTTATTTAGTGTGTCGGGATGTTCTGCACGCGTTTGATTTTTTTCAACATTTGCGTGAGCAGACGCAGACTGCACCTCGAATATATCGCTGCAAATGTTATTAGGGCTTACAGAAAACCGCATTTCAAAGTGACATATTGCTTAGAAGTGTGGCAGCTTGGGCTAGTTGGTATGACATGATGATAGTTGTAGCGCGAGAACAGCACGACGACAAAGAGACAAGAAGGACACTTTGATAGTTATAGCGCGAAAACAGGACGACAAAGAAGGACACAAAGTGTCCTTCTTGTCTCTTTGTCGTCATTCTTTTCTCGCGCTATAACTATCATCACAACATATTGTGTCTTGAGCAGTATAGACAAAATCTGCAATCAACTAAGAATCGCCCTGGATAAATGATTACATCACTCATATTGAGGAAGCGTATGAAAAGACGCGAAAAGTGCTCTAAGCTAATCGATAGACAGTTTTAGATCGGAATCCACAACAGCCTTGTGTGCACGCCCCGCCACGGTGGTCTAGCGGCTAAGGTACTCGGCTGCATTTTCGGTGGAGGTGGAAATGTTGTAGGCCTGTGTGCTCAAATTTGGGCGGAGGGTAAAGAACCCCAGGTGGTGGAAATTTCCGGAGGTCTCCACTACGGCATCTCTCATAATCATATGGTGGTTTTGGGACGTTAAACCCCATATATCAATCAATCAAGCCTGTGTGCACAGGCTGCCCTTGGAATAACAGGCGTACGTACATGTAATTTCTGGGTGCACGTTCGTGTCTATAGCTCCATGTATAGACCCTATCGCTGTTTAAAATACAGGGGCTGTATGGCTTCCAGTTTTGAGTGGCATAGTCTAGCAGTATTGGTGAGGAACAGAAGCCTTAACAATTAGCCAGTTCATTTTCAAGAGTTTTCTCCCTGTCAGATATTTCAAATACAGTTTCTTTTAAACTAGATACAGCATGGTAAGGGTTAGTCCTTAACTTCGAGCACCTTCTTTTTACCTGAAAGCAGAAAAAAGTCTTTCCTTACTCTAGCACAACTTACACACAATGGAGTGACCGGAAGTTTCTTAAGTAGCAGCACGTGCTGCTATTACTACCCGGCCGAAAAGGCGAATATGCCGACCTCCAAGCGTCACTTTGAACACAGAGCCTCTGCTCACAATACAGTGCGATCGGTGCCGAAGATGCACACATTAGAGAGTAAAAGCACTTTGCCAGGGTTGTAGGCAGAAATTTTTTTCAAGGGCACGAGGGACACACCTTAAAATTTTTGTTTTTTATCTGTATACCATGGTGAAAAAATTGGGGGGGGGGGGGGTTATGGGCACAGTTTTCTGCACTTTGCAATGCCACTGCACATTATGTAAATACGACATGGGACTGCTGTAGCACACCTCCTTTCCAGCTCGTTGTGTTCGAGGTGCATGCTGGAATTGGTTTGAGCGCAAAATCACAAGATACCCGAAAAGGTGACTGTACAAGTGCTTGTGCAGTATTTTATTAAAGCGACAGGTGCATTGACAGGCATTGACATTGACGACGGGTGCATGCCCCTTGCACAGAAAAATTTTAAGTCTTTTGTGGGTTGTTTGGGTGCATTTACTGGAGTTAGGAGTGTCAAAAACACAAGCTTGAGAGGACAAGCGATACCGATGTCCCGTACCGTATTTTAGTTCTGTAACTTCGTAACCTGCTAGAACTTTCTTCAACACAGTACTACCAAACAAGCAGTGCACTTAGTGAGACAGAGAGGAGGTGCCGTCGCCGCAGTCACTGCTGCGCCGAGACAGTCGCTGACACAATAGTGCGCCGTGGCCCCAGGACACACGGCATAGAGTTTCCTAACTATACACTAGAGGGAACTCTAGCGCTAGTGTCCATGGGAGCTGCAACGCATAGTGCTTTAGCGAGCACGGGAATTATAGGTATGGCATGGATTTGCCTAGTCTTCGTACTTTACGTTCATTCTGCCTTCGCGTGGCTTGAAGCTGCTTTGTCATGAAACAACAATTGGCAAAATGTTCGACAGTTACACTTTGTCACTTCAATCTTTTAGGCTTGCCACTTCAAGTTGGGTCATGAAGCAAAAAAACGGTTTGTTCTTTCGAAACAAAACCAAAACACAGCAATAAACGAAGGCACAAGTGCATTCGCCATCCAGAAGCACAAAGACTAAGCAAATCCAGGTCATACACATAATTCCCATGGTCGCTGAACGATCGTAGCGCCAGAGTCCCCTCTAGTTAATTTTAGAAAACTCTATGACACACAGCATACACGAATGGTGCAGCATCAGAATGCCAGCCGCGTTATGTTACATGTATCCGGAATCGTTTTGTACACTCTAGCCGATCATAATGCGCTGCACGAGATACAGTTATATTTCGAAGTAAAGTCAAATCTCATTATCTGATTGCTAGTTCTGTCTCCTGTTTTCTTCCTACTTGAAACGTCTGTTATCGAGTTAACATGATAACACAATAAAACTTTTTTAGTGTATGTGGCCTCATACCGCTTGTCTAGTCAACTGCCGCTAGACAACAACGTAAGCACCATTAAGGTACTTTCTCTGTGCGGCACACTGACTCATGCTCATGAATAAACTCACATTCACACTCACGACAACTCACACTCGTAAGTATTCACTCATATCAACACTCAATACTTACACTTATGTGTACTCATTCACGTTCATTTCATACTCATGTCTACTCAATCACTCTCGTGTGCTCTTTCATGTTTACACTCACGACTACTCTGAGTACTCACTCACATCCACCTACACTCACGAGGGCTCATTTGAGTTCATACTCACGACTACTCATACTCATAAGAGCTCACTCACGTGCATACTCACTTCTACTCACACTCAGAGTACTCACTCACACTCATACTCACTTCTACTGAATCCCATGAGTACTCAATCACGTTCATACTCACACTCATGAGTACGTTATCATGTTCATACTCACAGTACTCACTCATGTTCATACTCACTCCTACTCACACTCAGAGTACTTATTCACACTCATACCCACTCCTACTCATATTCATACTCACTCCTACTCACACCCATGAGTACTTGCTCATGTTCATACTCACTCCTACCCCACTCACAGTACTCACTCACATTCATACTCACTTCTAGTCACACTCATGAGTACTCACTCACATTCATACTCACTTCTACCTACATTTATGCTCACTCCTATTCACACTCATGAGTACTCACTCCTACTCACACTTATGAGTACTCGCTCATGTTTATACTCACTCCTACCCTGCTCATAGTATTCACTCACGTTCATACTCACTCCTAGTCACACTCATGAGTACTCATGTTCATTCTCACAACTACTCAAACTCATGAGCACTCACTCACGTTCATACTTCTACTCACACTCATACTCACTCCTGCTCACACTCATGAGTACCTGCTCATGTCCATACTCACTTCTACCCCACTCACAGTGCTCACTTTCATACTCACTCCTACTCACACTCATGAGTACTCACTTATGTTCGTACTCATTCACACTCATACTCACTCCTACCCACACTCATGTTCATACTCACTCCTACTCACATTCACGAGTACTCGCTCGTGTTCATACTCACTTCTACCCTACTCACAGTACTCACTCCTACTCACACTCATGAGTACTCACTTATGTTTGTACTCATTCACACTCATACTCACTCCTACCCACACTCATGTTGATACTCACTCCTACTCACATTCATGAGTACTCACTCGTGTTTATACTCACTTCTACCCTACTCACAGTACTCACTCACATTCATACTCACTCTTACTCATACTCACAAGTACTCACTCACGTTCATACTCTCTTCTACTCACATTCACTGTTACTTACTGATGTACTCACACTCATGAATACTCTCTTACCAGCACTTACCACGTTCAAATGAGGATGAGTGAGTGTACTCATGGGCGAGTATGCCTAGCTATGCCATTAGATACAAAGCCTTACTTTCTCCCTCAAGTGAATTTCAACCTGCATTAATAGAAAATAAATAGATGCCTGTCTGTGAAATTGAGCTGTGGCACTCCTGAATGCAACTTATGCTTCTTCCTTCCTGAAAAGATGGCTGTTTGCCAGATGAACACCTCGATGGCGGTGACACAATGACTAGATCTGAATGCCTTGAGGAGCCTGCCACCAACCATTTCCCAGGAAGTCTCAATCATTACTTGGAAGGTACCGAATCAGCCAATTTTCATGCAATGATGGAGAAGCAAGCTTTTGACAAAGCGAAATTTGTCCGCCGCCATGAATGCTTGGAGTGTCGTTGCAAATACAAAGACCCTGAGCCAAAGGATCTTCTTATATATCTACACTGCCTACGTTACAAGGTAACATCCGTTATTTAGGCAATATACTTTTCTAAAAAATGTAGCCTTTGTGTTTGGAGCAAGAGATGAACTAGTATTAAGCCCACTTTTAAGGTTGTTTGCTGTAACAGTTACCCATACTTGAGCATTAACCATCATTTCATTCCCTAATTTTAAGCAAAAAATGATGACTTGGACAAGGTAAGTACACTCGAACCTCATTATAACAAACTTGCATCTTACATATGAAAATAAGTTTGTTATATCTGAAAATTCATTATAAAGGTTTATTCTTTACACTGAGCCTATCGTGAGACTATTTTTCATTTATTTTGTTATAACCGATATTTTGTTATATCCAGGTTCGTTATATCGAGGTTTGAGTGTAGTGGTTTGAGTGTAGCCGTGAGTCCGAGTCTTAGTGAGCATGGGTGAGTTCAATTGAAGAAAATTTTCGCTAGTGGGAGTTCGGGTCAGTCCAGCTTAAAGGAAATTTTGGTGAGTTCGTGACCTAGTGAGTGCAAAAAGCGTACGGTATATTTCTTTAGTGAGTCTGAGTAAGTTTCCCTTTTTTTTCCTGACCAATGCACACCAATACATAGTATGGGGAATACAAGTGGTCACTGCACTTGGTGAATCAGCTTTGTTAACAGAGGTGGTATTGTTGGTAGAGTGAAATTTTAGTTTGCAAGTATTCTTTGGTGAGTGCCCCAGAAAAGTCTGTCTGTTTCATGACGCCTTAGAAAACTGGTTGTGAGCGTGTCTTACTCAGTTGATATAATCGCTTTGATTGTGTCAACAAAAAAGTCTTTGCTAACTTAATTTATTTTATAATTGCTGCTTCAATTGCTTTAATACGGTATTCATGTTATCATTACAGGGATCAAACTGGGTGTACGAAGCTGAATGGCCATCATGGGCAAAAGATAACTGGACTGATGACTGATAAAAGAGTCACTGCTATTTTCTGTCAGGCCTTTGTCTTTATCGAAAGCAAGTTATTGCTTTCTATATATATATATATATATATATATATATATATATATATATATATATATATATATATATAATAAATGAGATCTAACATTAGACAGTAATGCCAAGGAATCTACAGGGGAAGTTATTAGAACCAATGGAATGTAAATAAGAAGAAAGAAAAGTGGATGAAAAAATAACCAGCCGTGAGCAGGAATCGAACCTACGACCTTCGAATAACGCGTTCGATTCGAAGGTCGTAGGTTCGATTCCTGCTCACGTTATTTTTTCATCCACTTTTCTTTCTTCCTATTTACATTCCATTGGTTCTAATAACTTCCCCTGTACATTCCTTGGCATTACTGTCTGTTAGATCTCATTAATATTGTGTTAAAACACGGAAAAATGAGCCCTTAGGTATACACTTCTTTCCCTTATTGTACATACATACGTACACACATACACACACACATAGTGTAAAACTAAATATTTCACTGAAATATAGTTTTACCATGCTAACAAAGTTTTAATCAGTTTTCAAATGAAATTGAAGGCTGATTGCAGACCCTGCATGCCATGACTTGGCTGTTGTACAGATGCTGCCGCTGTTAGAGAAAACTAATGAACCCGTGGCAGCACTTCACAGAGCGTCGCCACCAGCATCTGGCAAAGGGGTTCACAGTGCAGCTTGGGCACGTTTAAAGCAGTTGGCAAACCGAGTGTTGTCTTTGTTGCCATTTATAAGTGTGAGTGTAAGCACTGGAAAGTGGAATCATAAAAGACAACACATTGGGCACTTTGCCTATCACTTTGATTGTGCTGGCAGCACGCACCTGCACCACAAGCCTTTGAAAGTTCCGTTGGTGGCACTCTGGGCACTATCTTAAAGGACCCCTGACAGCGAAAGTTTTCATCTGCAACTTTTCTTTTTGCAATAATTTGTAGCTTTGCATCAGGTAATCACAAAATTGAATTGTGATTGCTCTAATGCAATGTATAATTTTTGCTAACATTGCTAACTCGGAACAATTTTTCGTCAGTTCGACCCTTCTAAATTTATAAGGAAATAGCGCCCCACAGTGGGGGAGCACCTGAGACTATGTGTGCTCAAGTTTAAATGACACTGAACGCACCGTTTTCAAATTGGGGGACCTGCAGGTGGTAAATGGAACGATGTAGGTGCTTTCAGTGCATCCCCTTCAGAAAATAAGAAAAGCATTCTTGGCCAAAGAGCCAAAATCACCTTGAGATCAGCCTGGTAACAGAGCGAGAGGTGTGACAAACAATAGTACTTGCCGGGTGTCAGTCGTAGTATTGTGTGTGCCCTGCAAACGTTCTCTGCCGTTGGCAGTACTCACCTTGCTTGTGGAACGTCGCGCCAGGCCTTTGTCTACTTCAAACCAGAGAAAATGTCAATTTTTGCCTATAACTAAGATGAGCATTCACCCTTACTTTAAAACCAAATTAAAATATCTTATGGGCAATACTCGTCCCTAATAATCAGTCTGAAGTGCCTGTATGCCAAACTTTCAAACAACACAGGCATTGCAAGTTTCCAAATTTGGCATTAGGAATCCTATAAAGGGGCTCTGTGACACTTTTTCAAGTAGCCATAGAATGTATTTTGTAAAGGAGTTTATTGTCTCACGACTTCACCGCCGCGACAATTTTCGAATTCATCCAATACGACTGGAGTTACGAAGATTTGTCGCATGCTGCAATTGCATTCTCCTCTTTCACTCCGACAAAAGTGCTGGAAATTAAACAAGAAGGAATGGCACGGTGAAAGCAAATGCATCATGGGCGCTTTGCAACCAAGAGCACTTTTTTGCTTTTTTTTCTTATAATTTGCGGATTTTCAGTACGATTGCGCGTGTGTGGACGAGTTGTGACTTTCCGTGGCGATCCCTGTAACGACCGAGTGTGCCATGTTCAAATGGGCCAATGGCTGGTCCAAGGGCTGTAACAAGTGATTTTTGAGCTTCTTTCGTCATTTGTCGAGAGAAGAGAAAGCAATTTTCAGCTGACTTTGAGAATTTATTGTGAATTCCAGGCCATGTGCTATGCTGTAATATTTAGCTCATGTGTTATGTATTCGCTGCATTTTCTGACCATCAGCAAGAAGTTTTGCAGTGCCTCTTTAAAGCTCTTGTGTTCCCTCTAACAGTGCCCCATCTGTACAGGGACTTGCCAGGGACTTGCGTATGTATGCCTTCCAACTTACAAAACTTACTACTAGCAGTGCATACTCACTGGTAAAAAATAAATAATATAGTAATGTTGCTGCTTTGCCATTAGGTTAGAAAATCACTTGAGTGAAAAGCTGGCTCTACGATCAAGGAAATAAGTACACTGAAACCTCGATATAACGAACCCAGATATAACTAAATATCAATTACAATGAAATGAATAAAGGATAGTCTTGTAATAGATACAGTGTTAGGAATATACCTTTATAATAAATTTTTGGATATAACAAACCTATTTTTGTGTAAGGTGCAACTTTGTTTTCATGAGGTTTGAGTGTATCGGTGCCACCTTTAAGGAGATAACTAATTGTAAGCTGGAAGCTTCAATGTTTCACCAGCTTCATTTGTATGTTTGGATGTAAAAACAGTGCAAAAATATAGACATTTGTGTGTTTATCTGGGCATCTTGAAAATACATCTATTAACCAGGTGCACAGTAGCAAACAAAGCTAAATTTGCACGCCAACATCGCACATTTTTGTTGGGTAATAATTCTGAAGCTGTGGTCTGACTTTGCACACACAAAAAAGTTGCCTCAATATTTAGGACATCTAGATAGATGACAACTTAATTGAAATGGGAAGGAAAAAACAGCAATGTATTAGTCTTCATTTCTGAGTGGAACTACAGAAAAAATGGAAAAAAGATACAGTTAAACGGAAAAAAGATACAGTTAAACCTCATTAATTTAAAGTCACTGAGACTGCGAAAAATCTTCCAATGAAAAAATTTTTATATGAACCATGCCTACAAAAAGTGGGATGTAAGAAATTGAAATATTGAAAGTATTACCGTAGGTGGTTGTTTGCTGTACTGGCTTTTTTTTTTTTGCTGAAAAAAATGCTCATTGTAGTTTTCAAACTTGAGTTTTCGAAGTGGGCATTGTAGGCAAGAACTCTGCTGACAGTGCAAGTGTGAAAATTGCTGGAGTTACTGCCAATTGGAGGTTTGCATGTATCAAGAGCTCCGTCAGACTGTCCTTTAATAATTTCTTCATTAGATCAAACCCTGGCCACCCAGAGTGTCCGCGAACGAGTCACCAAGCTCGGTTTGGTGATCTCTAGTTGGGTCTGGACAGGTGGTGCGGGGTCTTTTCCGAGTCTTCTCTGGACAAAAATAAAGCTTTCATCATCATCATCATATACCCAGAAATAGTGGGTAAATCATGCCACACTGAAATAAGTTTCGAGAAGCCTGTGACATGTTGCTCGCGTGTCACCGCTGTTGTGCCTCATTGAAATACCACTAAGTCTTCGTTCTAAGTCTTCGATAGCAGAAAAGTAAAATAACACAAGGTGTCGCAATACAAATTCTGTATTGAGTAGGTGGTTTAAAGCTTCCCATTCATCATAAAGGACTCTAAATTCTTCATTGTTGGCCACAGCAACAATGAAGTGTTTATAATCATTAATGCCTCACAGACGCGTAGCGGGTACCTCACTTTTCCTCAGAATGATGAATAGTGGCATAGTGGGTATCTTGCAACTGCAATAGAAATAGTGCCCTGAGAGAGTTTACTAAGGGCTCAAGGAAGGCAACTTCTCAAGATTTTGCTGTGACCGTGCTGTGTGTTCTGCGCAAGCCTGGCATTTTTTCGCCAGTACTGAGTGCCTGTGCCAACATGACAAACAGAGCAAGAACAATCGTGCTCACTGTCAGAAAAGAGAGTTCAGCAGGCTTCACCTTCTTTTCATTGAGCAGCCATATTATAGCATACTGTTTACAAATTACATGTCTGGCCTAAAGTGTGAGCTTTTATTTGTGTGCTCAAGTCTGGCCCAACTTGGTATGTGGTGTGGCATGGCTTTTTCCTGTGCCACTTTTACCAGTGGATCATAGCCAAATCTTAATTGTACATTTTCTGGTGTTATTATAATAGAGTGAGCGTTATTCGTGCACTTCATCCTATCACTTGTAGATAATCATCATCACTGCTTGGGTCCGAGTAGTGGAGCTGAGGCTCATGAGTCAATAAAGAGGTGGCTTGCTGCCTGCAGGTTGTCTCACAATACGAAGCGATGTTGATCACCATGTATAGCTCACAAGGCACAGCAAGGTGTAAGATGTGCGGAAGAGAATTATCCTGCATTTAGGCCATTTCACATGACACAAAAAAGCAGTAATTTTCAGACTGAATTCGCTTGCAGCAAAAAAAAAAAAAAGGGGGGGGGGGCACTTGCTTTCACCGCAGTGGCCACCTGCGAATGATCAACATGCTGGAAAATTTTCACTCTGTTCACAGCAGCAGAATAATTTTTCGGTCGGGACCTATCGAAATAGGGTCAGGCTGGCCAAGCCGTCGAAATTGCATCAACGTGTTTGACTGTTAATGGCCAGTGTTGTGCTCTTTAAAGTTAATTTAGACTGGAAAGTGCTCTTAAATGATGCATGCTCTTTGTTACCTTTCATTAAAACTTAATAATATAATAACGCACAGACCATTACATTACATTTTAAAAATTCTGCAGTGTCTGTCACAAAAACAGTTGCAAGAAAGAGTTGCTGATTGTGCAAGTTGCAGAGCAAAAATCACTGAATGTTTGCAGTTCATGTGAAACAAACTGCCATTAGCTATGATTGCAAACAGAGTGAATGGAGCGAATGGAACAATTTTTTTTGCTGTTGTTGCGACATGTGAAACAGCCTTATGCAAGCATACATGAGGGCAGCCAATGCGTTTTCAGCCCTCTTGCTGCATAGCTGGTGAGGACGAGAGCAAACGGTTTTACTATTTCAGGTGTGGTGTTGAAAATTCTGTGCTGCATGCTGTTTGCTAACATTGCTTGTTTTGTTAACGTATTGGGGACATTTTTTTAATGTGTTAAAATAGTGCTGGGGCCTCTTGTATGCCATTAATACCATGTGCTTCATGTATCGTAAAATATTTAATATGAAAAAAAAATGCTATTCCCATCGCACTTTATTGGTAAAACCTTAAGGGGCTTTGAACTACTGTTTTTTTTTGTTTCAAAATGCCAAAAATGCTTTGGAACAAGTACTATGTCTCCAAGAAATATATTAGCAAAAGGTGTTTGGAAACCGGTGGTAAATGTATCATATACTGTGTACTCCTTTCCCATCTGCAGTGAACTAGCTTCATTCTGAAACAATGGGGGACTGCAGATAATGTTTCCTCGTCTACAGCAGTGCATTTCATTCCTCTTGGTGGGGGCGTGACCTAGCATCAGCAGACAACGCACAGTTTTTCTAGAAAGTATACAGTTGCTATCAAAGCTTGAAACATTTTTCATTATGTATGTAGCTGTAGTCGGTTTACCTAATTCTGGCTGTTAATATAAACAGTAATGCTAGGTATGATTGTGGTGATCAAAACATGCTGTATGGAGACAAAATATTTTTGGAAAATGGCAGATGTATGTCAGAATCAGCCTATTGTCATTAAGGGGGAGATGCTAGCAGTCGCTATTTCAAATTTGCACTCCGCTTGTAAATTCCACGTGTCACTCATGACTACAAATTTTGGTTAAAATCATCACAACCCTGCTGAATGTGCTTCATCATCAAACCGGCAATGGTTCACGCGTGGTAACAGTGTTTTGTAGTGTACGTCCCAGAAAGAGCATGCAATATAAAACATATCAACTTTCCGCTCAGCGGATCTTGAATTTAATATAAATTTGTACTTTAATTCAAAGACACGTTAGCATGTCCTGCTGAGGTCAGATTTGCAGATATTTGCTATAATTTGTTCTTACCTCCTCGGCTGTAATTTTTAGTGCTGCAATGAGATTACATTTTCCAGTGTTTCTGTATTCAGTGCATGGCAGATACCCACATGTGCACATTCACCCTAGATGGTACAGCTTGGAAGTATGCAAATTGCTGTATATTTTAAAATAAGAATGAGCATGTTTGCACATACCTTACTTCCAAAGAATGTTAAGATGTGCATATAATACAGTACTTCCCAGTGATAAAAGCTACTACATTTTTATTGACAAAATATGTTCAACTGTCATGTAAATATATCCCAGGGAGTTTTGTATGTGTCTGTAGCAAAGATGTATTGGCAAAAACGAGCATTGCACTTTCAACTGCCACTCGCTTATCTGGCGCAATACATCAAATTTCGAACAGCCTTAGCTACATGTAAAAGTCCTGCACTAGCTGAGAGGAGTTTATAACCTGTATTTTCTTCATGAGAATTGAAACTTCTTGTTTCTGCTTCAATTGCACGTAACTTAATTGGCAAACAAGCAGCAACTTGTCCTTGCATACTCTTTTGTTATTGTGATATTCAGGCTTAATTAAATGCATGTCAATATGAGGGATGCTATTACTGTGCCAATTGCACAAAAGATGAAACCTGCAACATTCCAGCAGAACTAAGATAATTTCCTCTGGGCCAAAGAGTTGCAAAACGGAGACTGGAGTGAGATGTTTGGGGCCACATATGAATCTTCAAGGAGCATCCCATTGTCTAAAAAAGTGGCAGGAATAGGCATAGGTGCAAAGTGGCCTTATTAGCAAACAAGCTTTCAGTGCCCACGGCTGTGGACAAGGTGTTCGTCACCGTGAATGATTAGTTGAGCGAAACAGAGGTATGTATTGTTCTGTTATCTTGTGAAGGTGTTATACAGGACAAGCAGGTCACCGAATAACTGATTATTGAACCGCAAAAGCTGCTTCTAAGGGTCTGCCATGTTGTAGTTTATCATTTTGTTGCAAAGAATGCATCTGCCCACCAATAGTGTCAAAAACCAGGATTCTCTCAAAAAAAAAAAAAATGTGGCATGAAAGGTTGAAGAGACATCTTTATAAAAAGGCTAAATGTGTTACAAAGTTCTTCATTGTGCTGCATGCCACTAAGTTTGAATGCACACCACTATTGAAGTGTGTGAAGTGCAAGATTCTCTGCATAATTTTTTTTCTTCATCTTTTGGTGACCACATGCTTTTCAGTGTACTTATGTCTGCTTTGAATAAAATCTTCAGTTGACTGTTTGAACCGAGTCTGTTTTTTCGTTCTTTTTGTCTGTGCTGGTTTGTGCTGCCGTCATCAATATTGATTACCACTTTAACCCATTTGAAGTTCTTCCCAAATAGGTCATTTGAACCACGAGGTTACCCATCTTACTGAAGCCAGGTCCCCAATACTTCGAGTTGTGTACAGAAATGGTTTCTTTGGTTGAAAACAGGTTGTAAGATTCTTAGAAAACAATCTTACAGGCACGATGCGCTTGCACGAGGTAAGAATTATGTTGCATGCGAGCGTAATTCATAACCGTCACAGAGTGTTCAGCTGTTTTTAAGTGACGCTAAAGTAAAGCATTGAATTAATTCAGCAGGATTTGGAAACTGTACTGCCGTTTTTCACCACAATAGAACCATTAGTCTAAAAAAAAGTTTTTTTTTTCTTTTTTTCAAAGTTCGACTATATCCTATGGGAATGTCCAGCCTATGGTCCAGCATTAGTCAAATTCTGGGGTCGCGGCCTGCAATGAAGACCTTCGGGCACGTTGGCGGACTGCGCTGCTCAGTTCGGGCCTGGACAAGCAACTTTGGGCGATCCAGCAGGCCAAGGATAGGGACCCTACCAAGGAACACGGAGGAAGGAAAAGTGCCAAGGAGGCTGCCGGGCTTACGGAGGCCAGGCCTTTCCTTCCTCCGTGCTGCCGGGAGACACGGTATCTCCATTGGCCCCTAGCCACCTACCCTAGCCCATCCCAGCAATCTACCGGAAATTATTATAATAAAGTCTACATCTATCTCTCTCTGTCTCTCTCAAAGTTTAAATTGAAATTTTGCGCCAAAATTTATGCAGATGGACGTCAGCGGGAAGATTTCATTTTTTGTGTATGCGTAACGTCGGGTAACTTTATGGTATGGTGGCCCCACGGAGGAAGGTGGCCCCTTCTAGCCACCATATTTATGGTAACGTCGCTATTCCCCCGTGCGTCGCATAGGTGCGTCGCTCACTACCTACCCTTTGTACCCCCCCCCCCCCTCTCCAGTCTTTTTTTTTTTCAAATTTGTTTGTATATAGTTTACAAGTGATTTCAAGGCAAGAGTCGTGGTAAAAAAAAAAAAGAGCATAAAGTCTTTTTTTTTCCTATTTGGTGTTTGAGTAAATATTCGTTTGAAGCTAGTTATATGCATGTACCACCTTCCCCAGAAGTTCAACAAAGAACGCGTTTTTTGTAGTCCATTTACGATCCATGACCAGTCGCGTAGATTAGAACTATGGTGTACTAGAACTACACTAGAACGCAGAAGATAACAACCAGAATGGAAAAAGGCATTTCATCATCATCAACAGCTCTATCTTTTATCTACTTTCAGTGTCTTTCAACTTCCTTAGTTATCTGTCCACACAGAAAACCGCGCAGACGACACGGTACGAAGGTCGGGTCGTCGACATCTCAAACACCTGGGCATACCTGAATGGTCGGCGCGTGTGCAAAATTTTTAGGATGGCAAACATGTCGGAGATCGTAGTCGGCACCATCGATAAGTACCGTGATAAACTAAACTCGGTGAGCCAAGAAATATGGAAAAACCCCGAGTTATATTACCGTGAAGTGAAAGCCCATGATTATCTCTCGCAAGCACTCGAAGACGAAGGCTTCCAGGTTCAACGAAACTATCACTTGGACACTGCCTTTAGAGCTGAGTATTCAGTTGGGTCAGGTCTGTGTAATTTTCTGTACTTTGCATTTAGTGACTATCTTTTATAGCGTTTCTGAAGTGCGTCGCTATCACTGGAGGCGAAGCACTGCTGCTCTGTACTGCCTTCGAGCATAACTCTGTTTTGCCGTATGTGTGTGTGTGTGTGCAATACAGGTGGTCCCGTGATTTGCATCATATGCGAATACGATGCGCTGCCTGTAGTTGGACATGCCTGCGGGCACAACTTAATAGCTGAAGCAGGGTTTGCCGCTGGAGTGGCCATGATGGTTCATCCCAGCAGAAGTAATGAACTGGCACCATTATTTATTGGTGTTGGCCATGTAAGTTGCTTGTAGCTTCATGGTAGTAAAAGTTCTGGCAGGTCCCATCTCGCCCTAAAAGTCTGTGTTAATGTTGTCATTGAAGCAGTTAAGTGACACTTGTACAATTGCCAAAGTCCTCTTTTCTGTGCAGCTTACTCTAATTCTATGTTACTGACATCCTTTTTTTCTAGCCTGATGCTTTTCACACAGCATGGTCTAGTCTCATTGTGCTCACTTCCTTTTCCAAACTTGGCTGCCTTGTATATAGACTTTAATGTTGTCAGGTTTCTCTGACTGCACTCAGTTCGCAACTTCTTTACCTCTATTAAAGGGGCCCTGCAACCCTTTTCTAAGTAACCATCAAATGGCTTTGCTACAGGGGTTTATTGCCTCATGCATTAACCACCGCAAAAATTTTAAGAATCCGTCAAGTTGTCGCACGCTGTAATTGCTTCCTCTCTTCTCTCATCGCAACAAACACGCTGGAAGCTAAGCAGGGAGGGATGGAATTGGCGAAAGAAGTTATGCCACCCAAGTATCATGAGCTTGAGCACTTTATCTTCGTATGTGCAGCTTACTTTCAGGGTGATTGCGAGCGTGTGTGTGAGCACGTGGCAGCCTTCCGCAGCAGCCTTTTCCACTATGGTGCTCATGATGCTGAAATAAGTCAGTGGCCGAGAATTTGGGTATAAGGCATCATTTATAACACATTCTTTAACTACTTGAAAAAACTCTATGTATGCCAAAAGCGAGCAATTTGTGCTATAGCCAACGTTCTGTGTGCTACTCACATTGCCCCTTATTTTGAAGCATTCAATATACTTAAAGTTAAGTTGACTTCTGCATTTCATCTTTCCTGTGCATATGGCCTCACCATAAAGACTAACAACATAGACTTCATCACTTAATTTCGCCTAACAAGACGTCACTACGCATACGACATAATAAATCGGGATTTTTGGCTCCTGCCATAATGTTGAACTAACTATGGAAATCATTCGGTATCATTCCAACTAGCTGTACTCTTAAATACATTAAATATGGCATATCTGCTGAGACGGCTTCAATATGCAGCCTTTGCTTATTTTTATCGGGTGAAGATAAAAGTTTTCCACTAGCACCTCTTTGTGATGATCAGACGCATATCTGTTTGGTGCATGACATTTTTGTTGCCTTAATTATTTTTTTTTCTTCCTGTTGTGCTTTTATTGCCTTCATGTTGACTTAAATTTTAAACTTATGTTGTGTAGAGAACAATATTGTTGGCATATATCACTTCATCCTCATTTAAGGAGCAGTCGGTCATCAGCCCTTTTCGGGTATATGCTTCTTCACATCCGTGGCGCTTGTTCGCTTCCGAGAATAAACCGAGTCGTCATACGCGGTTACAACCGAGTATGACGACTATGACGACCGAGTATGCTCCCATCCATGTGCTGCAAGCCCCTCGTCTTTACATCGTCAACCACCAGCGCAACCCTCCGATCTTAGCTGGTCTCCATGGCGAAGATGTGGAGGACTGGCTTGATAACTACGAGCGAGTTAGCACAACTAATTACTGGGACGACTTTAACAAGCTCAGTCGCGTCTCCCTTTATTTCAAGGGTGTTCCGAGGACTTGGTTCTTCAGCCATGAGGTTGACTGGACCGACTGGCCTGGCTTCAAGCAGCAGCTTCACTAAGTCATCGGCACGCCAGTGGTTCGGTCCGCTTTTGCAAAGAGGACCCCTGATGCTCGCACACAACAGTCTGGCAAGTTGTACACTTCATACATCGAGGATGTCCTTGCCCTCTGCCGGCGTGTCAGTTCATCAATGTCTGAGTTGGACAAACTGCACCACATTCTGAAAGGCGTAGGGACCACTGCCTTCAATGCCCTGGCTGTTCAGATTCCGTCTACTGTCACTGACGTCATCACCACGTGTCAGCGCCTCGATGAACTGGACTTTGTCCGCCTGCAATCAGGCACAAGCAAACACCGACTGGTGGACCGGGACCCGCGGAACTTGATCAGGGAGATTATACGCGAAGAACTCCAGTCAATGGGCCTCTCGCCACCTCCCTCTTCTGTAACACATAGCCTTCAGACATGACGTTACATGACATCATCAGAGAAGAACTAACATCCTTCACAGGCTCAGTGCAGGTACCATCGTCTGCGTCCAGTTTGCCAACGTACGCGCAAGTTGCGACCGCAACTCTCCCAATGGAAACTCCACGTTGCCGCTGCCATCGTTGGCGTTGGTTGCTGCTGCTGAAACACCGGTTCACTTCCGATTCATGCCCTCCAACCCTCCATCTGCCCATCTAAGTGCGCTATCTCCCGGTGCGCCCAACGTCCTCTACTACCCGTCATGGCGCCCATCTCGTTCATTATGCTTTTACTGTGAATACTGCGCCATATATCCCACTTCTGCCGCAAGAGCCAGCAGGATGAGCATTGAGGTTACATCATGCACGAACGGGATTTTTCCAGTAGCGGTTCTTATGCCCTGTGCTATTCATCTGCTGTTCCGCGCCCGCATCGACTGAGGCGCGGAACACTTACTGTTCAACCCGACGCCGCTCGCCTTCGCCCTGTCGTCGCACCTCTTCTCCGCTTTGCCGTGCCACGTTTATAACTGACCACTGATCGGAAAATTAAGTGATGCAGTTTTTCTAGGATAAACTGCATGTAAGAGTAGAACTGCTATTCCTCCAGCACGCCCGTTCAATATGGTGTCTGTCCTAATGGAAGGCATTCTTGTGGATGCTTTGGTGGACACTGGTGCAACATTTGTGATTAGCTATGATTTTTGTAAATGTCTCAAGAACGTTATGACACCTTATAATGGACCCACTCTAGTCTCAGCACAGGGAAACACCGTTCGCCCTTCTGCTTTGCTCTGCCAGAGTTTTTATTGACGATATTTTTCACTACATTCAGTTTACTGTGCCCACCCGGTGCTCTCACCAAGTAATGCTAGTGTGGGACTTTCTGTCTTTTTCTTCAACTGCAATATGTTGTTGAGAACGTGTTCTGCGCCTTACTTATATGAACTCTATGCTCGACGAAGACATCTACAAGCCACCTAGCCTGTTCGTGCCGGAAGATATCGAACTAGTGCCACGTCAAGAGGGACTTATGACCCTAACATCTAACGACATCGACCATGGTGACGTCTCGGTGTCCCCTTCGTTCAATAGCGTTACTAAAGGCATAGCTCTTGCGTCAGGTGTGGCACGCTTTCGCAATGGCTCTCTGTTCGTCATTGCCATGAATGCTGCATCGGAGAAAATTCTACTTCCACAGGGCACCACAGTAGCCTACGTTGTCTATGCTGAGCCTGTAAGCGTCGCGCCACTTAAGCCTGTCACCACCGAAGATCTTTCTACTTGTGTGCCTAGACCTTTCTTCTCCTTCACAGCTCTTATCAGCGATGACGTGATGACTACTCAGGCACAACAGCTGCTTGCTTTGCTAACAAAACACGCTGACACTTTTGACACCTGCTCCTCGACGCTGAGCCAGACTATCACTGCAGTGCATCACATTCGGACACAGGGAACATCTATTGTGCAACGCCGCCCATACCACGTGTCTCTCGCTGAGCGATAAATCAAGGAAAACATCGCTGGCATGCTCCAACAAGAGGTGATTCGTCCATCCTTGGTCATCGCCTGTTTTGGTACGCAAAAAGGAATGTTACGTGCGCTTCGCTTTTGCGTCTATTACCGAGCACTTAACAGATTACACGTAAGGACGTCTACCCCATGTCACGCATTGATGACGCCCTTGGTAGCATACAAGACACGGAATACTTTTCAAGCCTTGATTTGCATTCGGGATATTGACAAATTCTGATGCACGAAGACCATAAAAAAAAGACTGCATTTGCAACTCGAGATGAGCTATACGAATTTAACGTGATGCTTTTCTGGCTCTGCAATGCCTGCGACCTTTGAGCGCATCATTGACACCGTGCTGCGTGGCCTTAAATGGAAGACCTGCCTGTGCTACCTTGATAACATTATCGACTTTTTCTCCACGTTTTCTCAACACCTGCAACGCATGGATGAAGTCCTAACATGCCTCGCCGGCACTGGTCTGCAACTCAACATCAAGAAATGCTGTTTCGCCAGCAAATCCATCAAGGTTCTTGGTCATGTCATAAGCAAAGACGGAATTCGCCCTGACCCCCACAAGATTTCTGCCGTCCTTCGCTTCTCGGGCCCCGGAAGGCCGAAGGGTTTAGGATTTTTTTTGGGCTCGCATTCTATTTTCGTCGTTTTATATGGAACTTAGCTTCAATAGCTGCGCCTCTACACAAGCTGCTTGCCTCTGATGTACCCTTCGTGTGGTTTGAAGAGTCTCAATCGGCGTTTGACCTGTTGAAGGAAGCACTCACGTCAAAGACTGTACTCTGCCATTTTGATGAGACCGCCCCTACACTCTTGTATACAGCTGCCAGCGGCTGCGGTATAGGTGCTGCACGTCAGAGCCTGTAATCTGTCATTTTGATGAGACCGCCCCTACACTCTTGTATAAAGATGCCAGGGGCTGCGGTATAGGTGCTGTTCTGCAACGGGACGGCTGTTCACGGGAGAGGGTCGTTGCATATGCTAATAGAGTGCTGACCGCTGCTGAGAAGAACTATACAATCACTGAGCAGGAGTGCCTCGTGGTGGTTTGGTCAGTACGGAAGTTCCGTCCTTATCTGTACGGCCATTAATTCACTATTTTAACAGACCAACATGCCTTATGCTGGCTTTCTATATTGAAGAACCTGTCCGGGCGTCTTGGTCAGTGGATTTTACGGCTACAAGAGTATCAGCTTGAAATTATTTATAAATCTGGCAAAAGATATTAAGACACTGACGCTCTTTCAGCCTCTGCCTACGGCACCGCCCGGCACTCCCACAACCGTTCCCAACAACACCAGTTTAGGCATCACTTCCAGTTCGGTGGCCTTGCTTGCCTCACTGGACCAGATGGCCGCCGACGACAAACAGCCGTTCAGCTCTCGCCACCTGGCTGA